TTGATAATTAATCAAAAATTTATTGTCATCTATAAATGATTGAATCTGCAGCCTTATGAGATGTTCGGCAACTTTAGAAAGCGACGGTAGTATACTTATAGGTCTCAAATTCTCAATAGTGTTCCTTCCTTTATTTTTGGAAATAGGGAAAACCCTAGCAATTTTCCAGTCATTCGGGAAGGTCGATGTTGTAAACATTGTATTAAAAATATAGGTGAAATGTCTAGAAATATATGGATAGATTAATTTCAAAAATTTAATGGGTACTCCATCAACACCTACAGACTTCGATTTGACCTGCTGAAAGGCTTCAAATACATCTATCTCGAAAACACAATTAAAAGAAAATGTATGACATTGTCTATCAATATCTGGAAAATCAACAATAACATTGCCAACACCATTTTCTTGAGTAAAATATTCATTCAAAACATTAACATCAAAGTCAGTTGAGAGGTTGACGTCATTGTCAACGATACCACCGGCATGAAGTTGTCTCCAGAGATGAGTAGCATTTAGTCCATTGAAAATTTGTTCATAATATTTTTTACGTTCCTTTCTAAGAATAGACTTAGCTTTGTTTCTGAGAGTTCGATACACCGCCATATTTTGCAGCGTAGGAAATTTTAAATAATTTTTGTACGCCATATCACGCAAAGAGATCGCCAGTATTATAGATTTACATTTCAGCCACGGATCCAAGGAATGTACAACACGCTTTCTAACGACAGGAACATATGAAAAAAGATTAGCAATAAGCAACTGGAGAAACGAAAGCTGTAAATTAATATCAGATGTACTATATAAACTACTAAAGTCAACATTGACGAGATAATCAAGCAGACCGTCCCAATTTATATCATTATAGTTCCGAAATTCAAAAAAATGTTCTGCTGATGTCAAATTTATATTAGTGATACCAAAAATTAAAGAATGGTGAGAAATAGAAGGACATTGGACTTGATCAGAGGAGATAAGAGAACAGAGGTGACTGCAGGCAAAAAAATCAATAAGAGAAACAGAATCAGTAGCAATATTAAAATGGGTAGGCAACGAGTTATGAGTAATTGATATACCAAGACGAAGACAAACATTCCTCATTTCAGACGATTTTGAAATGTCGAACAAGTTACAATTAAAGTCGCCGACAACAATTATAGATTCGTATCTGGACAAAATATCTTCATGTATCTCCTCAAAGTTATGAATATTACCATGTGGCAAATAAACAACACCAAAAAGGACTTTACTTAAACCAAAAATAAGTTCTATAAATAAAGACTCGCAAACTCCAGGATTTTCAGAGCGAAAAACCACCTTATACTTAATATTTTTTAAAATATAAATACCTACACCTCCTCCACGAGCGCTAGGTCGGTCATTGCGGACAAATGAGTAGCCCGGAATCGCAACAGTTTTCGACGAAACGTAAGGTTTCAACCAAGTCTCGGAAACAGCGAACAACCCAAAACCACTATCACAAATAAGATTTTTAAGCTCACAAAGGGTGGTATTATAAATGGACGGACGCAAACTATGACAATTTAGATGACCAATGGACATACAATTTGAATATTGACTCAATCTGTTTTTGAAAAAAGACGAATTACCAACAATAGGACCGAGGTTATTTGAAATCATTGGAAATAAAATAAATATTATGCTGGGGAACTTAATTGAAACCGAAATTGAGATCAAAATGAGATTATATATTAAAATAATTATAAAACAAAAGAAAAATAGAAAGAAATCAAGGCAAAAAAACATATTCAAAGAAAAAAAAAATAAGAATATGAAAACTAATTCAAAACAAGAATATTAATATAACATTTGACTCAGGAAGAATCCTTAAGAACTACTCAAAAATTAATTCAAATAAAATTTTCAGCTATGATTCCATAATGCCTCACAATCATCAATTCTAAGAAACCGTTCATTGCCATCCGGAAGCAAAACATTAACTCCAGGCTCATCACCATTAACTAGTATAAATTTTGTAATTTTCCTTTGGTTTCTAAGTTGTCTGCAAACATACATTAACCTGGCAGAAGCGGGAGTCAGGCGATCGTCTATATACACATTCGTTTGTAGATTTCCACCAATAACAGCATTCAACTTAATAGGAGGACCTCGACGGTAATTAGCCATAATACTGTCTCTTAAAAGCACAGAGTTCAATTTAACCAAAATGGATTTACCACCGGCAAAATAACAGCAATGCTGTATATCAACTTGATTAATGCAGACATGACAAATGGCTGCAATTTTAATAACAATGTCGCTTATATTGTGAAGACCACTAGGAAGGCCATTAAGGACAATATTTGAACGGTTTAGACGGCGTTGAAGAATCCCATTCTGTACCTCCATCTTCTCAATTCGTTTTCGGAGAGAATTAATACTCGACATTGAGGACTTGCATATCTCAATTTCCCCTTTGATGGTACTTAGCGTTGAAGATAATGACCCAATCTTGTCTTCACATTTCTTAACATCGTCCGAAACTTTGCGCAACCCATCCAGAAACTCCTCCCGAAAAGATGCAACGACATCATCCAAAGCCTTCTGAAAATCGGCAACATATGATTGCATTTGTTGTTCAATTTTAGTTTCAATGCCGAAGCCATATCATTCACGACAGCAGTAACATGGTTAATAACATCATTGTCACTAGTACGACCAGAATTACTACATGAAGGTTTTTGTGAAATTTGTGAACATTTATTGCATTTATACACCAATCCTTTGTTTGCTTTAACTTCATTGATGCTCTTACCAATACATGCCGGATGGAAAAAATTGGGACAAGTAGAGCATCCAACACTGTAGACTTTACCAATAGTTTTACCACAAATAGGACATGTATAAATTTTAGATCTGGTTGACATCATAAGAAAATGGTTGCAAATACAAAAAAAAAACAATCGATAATTTGTTTGTGTCACAAGTGGCGCATCAAAATAAACAGTGTTCTTCTTATTCTTCTTCTCAGCGCAGCCGTGTAGAAGTTGTTAGTGTATCAAAGCACATAAACAATTTTGTTATCTTCTCCTTCTTAGCGCAGCAGTGTAGTTTTTGGTGTATGAAGGCACGTAGTTATTGTAGCTTAATCAGCGTGAATATCAAATATTTCAGCAAATCTTCATAAGGCGTGATCAGATATAGTCGAAAACTAGTAGCACAGGTGTATTTTACTCCGAAAAATAGTATACTTTTTACATATAAAGATTTTTCCCGAGAGCACAGCAAAAAATTTAGCAATTATTATTATTACTATTATTATTATTATTATTATTACTATTATTATTATTATTATTATTATTATTATTATTATTATTATTATTATTATTATTATTATTATTATTATTATTATTATTATTACTATTATTATGATTAATATTATTATTATTATTATTATTATTATTATTATTATTATTATTATTATTATTATTATTATTATTATTATTATTACTATTATTATTATTATTATATTATTATTATTATTATTATTATTATTATTATTATTATTATTATTATTATTATTATTATTATTATTATTATTATTATTATTGTTATTAATATTATCATTATTATTATTTTGTTGTTGTTGTTATTATTAATATTATTTTAACAAATATTGTAATTTACTACAATTTTTATTATTATTATTATAATTTTATTAATGTCCTTATGAAGTCCTTATCTTTTGAAAATAAAACCCCCTAAATATAAAATAAAACAATGTTTCTTTTATTTTATAATAATTTTTGTTTCTTTATTTTTTTATTGTATTCACAAAAATACAATTTACAATTTTTTGTTGTTGTAAAATTAATATTGTTTTTTGTTTGTTTGATAATTATCGTATTAATTTATAAAAACAATCTTTATAAACCTAAATATTTTTGTTTTTTTTTTAGTTATGGTACAATAAACGTATATATAAATTTTATAAAAACACAAACTCAGACATTTTTTTTAACAACTTCCATTGCCGTTTCATTTTTTTATATATGGAAATAAATAACGGAAGGAAATGCTGTATGTGTGTATTGAGTTGAGTACTACAATAAATGATATTTAGTGGAAGATCGTAGAGTGGGGGAAGTGGGGGAAAGTAAAATTATAAAAAAATAATACGGAAGGGGGGACAGTGGTTGTTTGTTTTTTCTTTTTAAATTAAATTACAAAATTATAAAATTTGAAAAATGAAATTAAAAAATAATAAAATAAAATAAAAATACCTATGAATTAACAAATACGAACTAGAAGCACATGCACTCTTATAAACATAAATCGAATGACGAGTCACTTTTACATTGCCATTCGATTTTGTTTTACCATTTAATTTAATAGTTTAATTTGTTTTTGTAATTAAAAAAAAATATTGCATTTCAATTCGTTAGTGATAAATTTTTGTTGTTGTTGAATTTTTTCTTTTTGTTGAAATTTCAAGTCGTCATAAAGCAGCTTTTTAAAAGCTTTACATTAAGCTGAGTAATTTGCAGTGTTTTTTTTTGTTAGGCACTAAATTTTAGCAGGAAATTAAAAGAGAGATTCTAAGAAATCACTCAAATAAAAAAAAAAATAATAAGAAAAAATTTTACATTTTCCAATGAATATTTTATACACAAAATAATATATATATAAAAAAATTACAACAAATCAATATAAAGCTTTCAACTTGTCATCATCTGGAATATCATCAAATAATTAAGTTCGTCTAAGAGAGAGAGAGTGGAGTAAAATGACATTGATAATGATGGTGGTGGTCGTATCTCTCATGGGTATGTATGGATGTGAAATGGAATGGTTTTTTTTGCATTGTGACTTAAGTGCCTGGGCCTTTTGTGGAGGACTAGCATTTAAGCCCCATTTAAAGTGTTGTGAGCATTTTCTTTTTTTTTTTGTTTCTAAAGTATGTTACATTAGTCGAGCGTTTCGTAATAAATATTTAATAGATGATTGTTTGCTGCTTTTATTCCTGGTAGTTTTTTTGTTCGTTTGAGATTTTTTTTATTACTAACGCTGCTAAATTGGCAGTTGTGTGTGTGGTTGTTTGTTCTATTGAATTTATTGGACTTCGCTATCACTATCACTCTTTTCTGTGAATGAAAGAACGAAAAAACACAAAATCATAAAAAATTAATACAGAGTAACACAAGTACACACGAATGATGACAGGAACAGGCCGTTATAACAAATTTCCGTAGAAGCATTATGACTTCCATTAAACTTGACCTTTATAAGGGTCATGTGTCACATATTGTTTCCTGCCACCCTAACATTTATCTAAAGCCACTCACCTTTTTTGCCAGTATAGGCATGTCGTTTTAATCGATCGTATAAATCATCCTTGGTACCATATAACGAGGCATTCGACCTAGCCAATGTGCTCATCTTGCCACCTCCATGCAGACCTGTGGAGTATACAACATCTGTGATTAAATCAATTAGCAATTCAAACTGGGTTCCGGGGGGAAAAATGTTTAAAAAATGTTTTTGTGATTTTGAGACTTATTGGTCTCTAAGGAAATAGTGCTGATATCAATAAATGTTTCCTACTTACCATCCTTCATGTACGTTTCATTGTAGAAATTTGGCATTTCCCAGCCATCCTCCTCATCGTCATAGTAATGGGCATAGGTACTGTGATGTGAGGGCGCTATCGACTCGGCATACGGTGTATGGGCTCCATAGTAGAAGTTCACCTGAGAACCGGTTTGATCGATGGCCGGCGATAACATTTTCTTTGGATCACGTCTCTTTGTTGAACGGACACAAATCATCCAGATCAATAGAACTATGACTATAATGAAGATCACAGCACCGGCAATACCGCCAGCAATATAGGCAAATTCAGAACGTTCGGCACAGTGGGGGCCAGTGAAGGAACCGACACAGCGACACGATGGTGTACCCTTGAGATCCTTAACACAATTGCCTTGATTCTCACAGAAACCATCGCAAACATCGGTACACTCCATGCCAGTACCATTGAAACCAGGTTTACATTCACATTTGAAGTCCGAGGTTTCCGGCACCAAAATACAATAAGCATTAGGATCACAATGAGGACGACCTTCGGCCACCTGTTCACAGGGATTTGTACATTCAGATTTTGAGGTAGCTCCGGTAATCTTGGTGCTGTGATTGGGTGGACACTGGATACAGGAAGTTTGTTGGGTTTCCGGCTGATAGTAACCTTTGCGACATTCTTCACACATGTTAATGGTGCTATTGAGATAGGTACCGGGCGAGCACACCGGCAGGGTACATTCTTCAACGGATTTGGCACCAACCTTAGGTGTGGTGCGACCCAATGGACAGGCTGCACATGAGGGCTGGACACCCTGGGCACGATATGTACCGCGAGGACAAGGTTCACAGCGCCCGTCAACACCCAGCTGTTGGCCAGAAGAGCATTCATCGCGACATTCCTTGCGTGAAGTGGCCTCGGCGGAGCGTGTTGTTTGACCCAAACCGCACAATTCACAACTGAAGGAACCTTCATTGGGTTGGAAGAAACCATGACCGCAAGATCTGCACAAACCAGTTTCAGAGTCAAAGTATTTGCCAGCAGGACAACGTTCCTTACAGCTGGCAGCCGAACGGGCTCCAGGTCCGGCAGTGACACCGGGGCGACCCGCAATGATGGGACATTTGCTGCACTGCAATTGGCCAGCTTCCGATTGATAGGTACCGCGTTCACAAGGAACACAAGTATTGTTGCGGGTATCATAGAAGGTACCAATGGCACAGGGTACACAGTCGGGAATCATGACAACTTGTCCCACAGGGCAAGCATATTCAGAGCCCAATTCCAAAGAGGCTGGATCCGGTACGGTGTTGGGTAATATGTCCTGGACGGCGAATTGATCATCTTCCAAAATGAGTTTTTCCAACAGGGCCTTGACAGTGGAACGTTCGCCAGTAGATGTGTGAACTACCGGATCACTGGATGGGAAAACGAGAGAACAATAGGTATTAATAAAACTTCCCATAAAAATTAAACTATTTAAGCAAAGCATTTTGTTGTTAGGCACTAAAAAATGTCAGAATTTTTTGAATTTTTGTTACAGACATGGACATGAATACCATAACCTCCCCCAACCCTAACCCCACCAAAACCATAACCACAATGTCTGAGAAATATAGCGAATTGTTTTTGAGGGATTTGCAGAATTTCTAAAAAGCAGCAGCGAAAGAACTTTCGAAAGCGTTTCTATTTCTTAACAAAAACATACTTCACTGCCGGGAAAGAAATTTCCAGCGTGTATGTATCACCGCCTGTTTGTTGGCGTCCTTGACGTGCTCTGGGATCTGGATCTTCTTCATCGCTATAAAGTTTTGGAATAACACATAGGTACAAATTTAAAAAACACATACATGCTTACACAAATAGTAACCAAGACACACATTTGTACAATCAAATAAGACCGGACATAAACTCCAAGGTCCCATTACTTACTTGAGTACTGGTATTTCAGCTTCCAAGACATAGACACCACCATCCTTGGCCTGACGTCTGACACGATTACTTTGAGTGCCGCGATAGTGATCACATTTCACATCGATTTGAATGTCTTTGCATTCGCGTGAGCCCTCCACAGAATAAGAGCAGAAGTTCCAATCACGATTAAGCGAGTTAACAGAACTGGTAACCTTCTGACGGAGCACACCTTGGCCGGCCTTGTTACATAAGACATCAGAGGGGAAGAGCATTTTGATGCGGAATACACGTTGGGCCAATTTGGAAGCTATGGAGGAGAACACACATTACTTCATAAACGATACCAGGAGGAAAAGAAAACAAAAATACTTACGTGAACAGGCAGGATATACCAAGGGCATGGATGGGTCGGGTGTTGGGCGCCAGAAACCTTCAGCGCCACAGGTATAGAATTCAGGTACTTCCTCAGAGAATCTAAGGCCAGGGTTACAAGAAATTTCACAGACCTTGAATTGGCCTCCAGTACCCCAGTCCTTGCAGACTTGTACACCACCCACAGGATCAGCCAAGGGAGGACAGAAGTCAGCTAAAAGAAACACAAAGGAATAAATATCATCCCCTCCCCACCTCTCCTCCTCCCACTATCAAATACTTACTCAACAATGAAACCTTGAAGCTACAGGTGGCTGTATTGCCAGCTGCATCCGAAGCAATATAGGTAATATCATATGAACCCCATAGCAAGGTGGTGCCAGGACGGTGACCATTACGTTCCACAATCTTGGTAACACCAATGTTATCACTGAAGTGAGGCTCATCCCATGAAACGACAGCCGAACCATTCTTGGCAATAACCCACAAATCTCCAGGGCAGTGTTCCACAACTGGTGGCTCCTTATCCACTTCCAATTGTTGACAATTGGGTCCCGTGTAACCATTTGGACATCTACGTTGACCACACATTGAGGGTACATTGCGTTCAACACCTCCCACAGTGATCTCATAACCAGACCAATTCAAAATCAAACCATTATAGAGGACAGGTTCCGAACGGCAATCACGTACTTGTTTCTGAATCTCCGATGTGGTATCCAAGGCTCTGGCCCATACTTGAACCTTTGTCATGGTACCTTGGAAGCCAGATTCCGAGTATGACAGGGCATATTTCGAGTCATCAGGTTGTGGGCGACCCAACACCGACCACAAATAGGGTGGCAAGGTACGTCCTTGAGCATATTCTATCTTGCTGGCAATCAGACCTTCGGTAATCAACTGCAATTGGCCAGACATGCCATCCCAAACAATGGCTACATGATGCCATTGGCCATCATTGACGGAGGTGTATTCACCGAATGACAGGAAGACATCTTGATAGTCGGCAAAGAGGGAAACTTGCACACCACTTGAGTGGGCCTGTAACATTAGGCGTCTGTTGCTGGCCATATTGGGCGACTCAACACCATACAAGGTAAAGAAGATACCGGTATCATCCTTCTGCGAGAATTGCACCCACATGGCAATTGTCAAACTGGTAGCTTCGCCAGTGTAGAAGGGTACAACTTGGGCAGCCGTGGAACGAGTGGCATCACTAAAGTACAAATCATAATCCACTTGGATGGTCTTGCGACAATCATCACCGGTCATATTGAATGGACATTGACAATAGAAGCCATTGGTCAAATCAATGCAGGTGGCACCAGGTGGACAGGAGTTGTCCTTGCAGTCAACAATATCCTCCTCACAGTTTACGCCGGTGAAACCTTGTGGACAGACGCAGGTATAACCCACGCCCACATCAATACAGGTGGCTCCATTCTGGCAGAGATGAGCCTCGCAGGCATCGAATTCATATTGGCAACCAATGCCGGAATAATCCATGGGACAGGTACAATTCAATCCAGAACCAAAGTCCTGGCATTTACCACCATGCATACAAGGATTGCCGATACAACGTTCGGGAGCAGTTTCACAATTCTTGCCATCCGTACCCGAGGGGCAGACACAGAAGTAGTCTTGGAACAGATCAATACATTTGGCATCGTTCTGGCAAGGCGATTGGGTGTCACAAGTGGTTATTTGATGCTCACAATGCAAGCCACTCCAGCCCTTTTCACACTCGCAATCGAAGCCGCCGACACGATCGGTACACTTGCCATAATTCAAGCAGGGATTACTTTCGCAGTCATCAATGTCAGTTTCACACAATTCACCAGTGAAACCATCGCGACAGGCACACTTGAATTTATTGTCCAAATCCAAGCAGCGTTCAGTACCGACAGGATTGCAAGGATCGCTGAGGCACTCATCAATTTCAGCCTCGCAATTCAAACCCACAAAGCCAGGGCGACACTTACAGACAAATCCGTCCAATTGATCAACACAGGTGGCACCGTTCTGGCATGGATTCGATTCACAATCATCAATGGTGTGTTGGCAATTCTTGCCAGTGTAGCCGGGTTCACAGTTACAGCTATAGCCATTAACCAAATCAATACAGACTCCATCATTGGCACATGGGCGATCTTCACAGTCATCTATGTTTACATCACATGCTGGTCCCGTCCAGCCTGGGTGGCAGACACATTCATGGTCAAACAGGCGATCAACGCAAGTACCATGCTTACAGGGTTCCGAGAGGCAGAGATCAATCTTTTCTTCACAACGCTTACCGGTGAAACCGGGTGGACAGGCGCACTGGAAGTCGTTAACCAAATCGGTACAGTTGGCACCCAACAAACAAGGATTCTCAGCGCAGTCATTGATGTTAGCTTCGCAATGGAAACCTTCCCATCCTGGCAAACATTCACACTTGTAACGGCCCTGTTGCAGAGCTCTACAGCTGGCTCCGTTGGAGCAAGGATTTCCGTTGGCGGTACAAGGATCAATGGTGACATCACAGTTTTCCCCTGTGTAACCACTGCGGCAGAGACAGGTATAATTCTTGTAGCCAGGTTCATTCTTGCACATAGCACGGGTGGGGCAGGTATCTTCGCGACAATCACTGGCCTCTTCCTGACAATTGATGCCCGAATAACCGGGTGGACATTCACAGCGATAACCTTGAGGTTGGTCCACACAGGAACCACCGTTGTAACATGGCTGTGAGGCACACTCATCGATGTCGATTTCACAACGTTTACCCGAAAAGCCGGCAGGGCAGAAGCATTGAATTCCATGACCCATGGGAACGCAGAGGCCACCATGTTGACAGGCACCTTCACCACATACCACAGGTTTACATTCCTCACGACCCTTGGCTCCAGGAGCTTCGGTGCGCATGTTTGTGGGACATTCATTGCAAGTTTGTGCTCCAATGGCACTTTGATAGAAGTTCATGGGACAAGGCGAGCATGGAGCCAATCCAGTGGTGGAGTAAGTACCAGGTGCACATTTCTGACGACACAGGCTCTTGGTGGAGGCAGCAGGTTGGAAGGTGAAAGTGTTCTGAGGACAAGCTTGGCAATCCTTGAAGCCGCCAGTTGGTGGATCACTGGTGAAAGAGTTGCGTGGACATTCCAAACATGGCACCAAACCAGTTGGAGAATAGGTACCATAACCGCACACTGGAATACAATCATTCAAGGATTTGGAACCCTCTTCCTTGGTGTAGGTTCCGGCAGGGCAACGCATGCAGGTACCCTGGCGATCGCGGTTTTGATAATAACCACGCGGACAGTTGGTACAGACGTTTTGTCCGGTGGCCACATATGTACCGGCAGGACAGTGCAAACAACGTGGCACATCACTGGTATCCATGTTTAACACTTCACCTACACTACAGGTGAATCCGCGCGAGATGTTGCTGTTCAAGGCACGCAGGGGAGGACATTGATTTCCAATGTTGGAAATGTTCAGCAGAGAATCAATGACAGCACTGGCATAAGGAACACTCAAATCAAAGATCAAATTCATGGTGGAACCGCACAGTTCGTATAGCTGAGGTTGTCTAATCGCTGGCAAAATGGACAAAATGAAATCCATTTTTACCACATTCTCCTCCTTTAGGCTGGGGATGGATTTCAAGAAGGTAACATTCATATTGACATTGACGGCGGAGCAACGTTGTGACAACAACTGATTAAGGCCAGCATAGTTTTGGGCCAAAGCATCCTGGTATTTACCCAAACAGGATTGAGCCACAGCACCATTGGCACGATAGGTAATGGTGGCGGTAACTTGGTAGTCGGCTTGTTCGGTATTCTCGGACACACAATCAGGTACAACCGAAGTGGGTTTCCATAACCTGGAAGTTTCACAAGAGAAGCTCTTAATAGGTTCGCCATCAGTGAAGCGGAATCCTGGTTTACAGGTGGCAATACATTCAATTCCACGATCTCCGGGTAAGCAGTTGATGGCACCATTGGCAGGTGGTTGCAGTTCCCAATCAACACAAGGGGAGGCTTGCACCGAAACCTGGTAGTTACAGAAGGCCTTGTTGCCAAATTTGTCGGTGGCAGTGACGGTGACATTTTCAAAGCCTCTAATTGGTATGACAGCACTTTCAGGACTGAATGATAGACGCACTTCTCCCGATTCATCGGAGGTCTTGATGCGATTGCGGGTATCGTTGAAGTTTACATTGTAACGATCCTGGCGTTCGGCCAATTCAATGACATAGCTTTGAGGACATTGCAGCAGAGGTGGAGTCACATCGGGCACGGTAATATTGATTTCACAAATGGCCACATTACCATCATAATCGAAGGCAACATATTTCACCACGGTATCGCGGAAGATGAACGAGGGTGTCTTGAAGTTTTGTGGCTTCACTTCCAAACGGGCAATGGAGCCAGAATTATCCACAGCTGTTGGCTCGGTAAAGTTAACCGGCAAAATGGCACCAAATTCATCACGTTTCACAATAATCGGTTGCTGAGGACAGTTTTGGAAGATTGGAGGTTCATTGTCCACACAAGGTGAGTAGCCATAGTCATAACCTAGCAATGGTTCCTTCTTGGGTTCCTCACAGCCCATCAATTCGAATTTCAAACAAGCATTATCCATATAGCTGACGATGCCCAAGATAACGAAACGGGCCTGGACATATTTAGGCAAGGTGATCATGGCCAATTCACCATAGTTACCAGGATCACGCATGGTCAGATTGAAATTGGGGAAATAGACAACATAATTCTCGTTCTCGGCTTGTTTGTAGAAGAATCTGATTTCGGTGGGGCGACCCACAATGTCATTGGTGACAACACCCTTAACCAGGATGGCCTTGACACGATAGATTTGTCCCAAATCCACACTGACATAGGTGAAGGCCTCCTGCTTGCCACACCAACCGGTGGCGGAGTTCAAACGAATATTCTTGGCTTCATAGTTGGGTCTCTCAGAGGTGGCATTAATGGCAGAATCAGGAATCTTACCAGACGTAAGACCCAATGGCTTGATAACCTTACATTCAGGCTCACGGATACAGGTGATGGGACGAGGATTAATGAGTATATAACCGGGGCGATTGCAGCCAAAGTAGACCTCAGAACCTTGTTCATAACTCTTGGCAATTTGGCGACCATCGCTGGGACGTCCAGGATCATCACACACAGGACCTTCACAGCGTAAATCTCCAAAGTCCCAAATACCATCTTGTTGACAACGTACCACATTGTCGTGATGAGAAGTTTGACCGGCCAATTTGAAGGTATTCTGGCAGCCAAAGAAGAAATTGCTTTGATAACGGGTATCAACATATTGACCATATTCAGCTCCAGGTGTGGGCATAGGTTCGTAACAATCAACACGAGGACATGAGGGCTGGGAACCAGACAACCAGTAATCGGGTAGACCAGGTTTGGGATCATAAACACATTGACGGAAGCCAGACGAGGCAGTAGAACGCAACTGACGGCCAGGGGCATTGCAGGTAATGGAAACATTTTCACGGAAGGGAACCAAAACTGATTCAGGATCTGGTCTCAAAACTGAGAGACCTTCCATCTTGTCATCAGGCAGGGAGACACATTTGGCATCTGGAAAGAGTTTAAGAGCCATGGTTAGTAAGGTAAAAATTTTATGTTTCTATTTATACTTACAATTACATTCCGGTACCGAACCATTCCATTGGCCACTTGACAAGCACAACAGCGAAGAGCTTCCCGACATAATGTAACCAAAGTTACATTGGAAGTTAACAATATCACCAAAATGATGAGTATCCTTGTCTGTCAACAGCTTGCCATTTTCGGGTTCTTCCAAATTCGGGCACATTAAGGGCACACAGGTCTTGTTACGTTGATAGGTATCACCATCACGTTCTCCGGTTTCGGTCTTCTCCACATAGTAGCCAGCTGTACCATTAGCGGTATACAATTGATAGCCAGTGTTGCAAGAGCAGGAATAGCTTCCAGGTGAGTTAACACATTTCTGATCACATCCGCCATTATTTTTGGCACATTCATTGATATCGACACAATCCAGACGGGTACAACCCATGGCTTCGAAACGTATACATGGAGCGCCCACATAATCTTGAATGCGGAAGCGGACATAACGGGCCTCAATGGGCATGGGTAAGTTCAAAATCGACAAAGTGGGTTCAAGGATTCTAAATTCCACAGCGGTGCCATCAGGATTGGTGTAATCCTTGAAAACATCGGTGAGATCATCGGTGTATTGTAGACGAACGGCCGAGGTAAAAGCAATGTTGCCATCAAAGCGTTGCACAGACATCGTACGGAAACCTCTCAAAATAGTTGGAGCCTTGAGGTCAATCAGAATCCAATTGGCTCCTGGTTCAGCGGAAGCACCACACCAACCTCCGGAAGTTAAACGTACCATACCCTTAGAGAAACCCTCTTCACTGGCTGAAGTGGTAATACTTTCATCGGGAATACCACCATTACTGAGACCCAAATCTCCAACTGGGCGACATTCGGAGGTGGCTGTAAAACCAGCCCTACATTGACAATGGAAGGATCCGGCAGTATTTACACATTCCGTGGTGGCCAAATCACATTGGGTCGAGGTACATTCATTAATGTCCTCACAAGTGGGAGGATTTTCAAAGATTTGATCACTATTGCAGCGGATAATGTTACTGCCAATCAGCTTGTAACCCTTGAAGCACTGAACGCGGGCATCATCAGAATAGTAGTAGGCACGATCTGAATCGACCACAAAACCATTTTCAATTTTGGGGAATTCATAGCAACGTTTACGCGAACAACGTGGCACTTCGCCGCTCCAGGTGCCATTGGACATACAGGTGAGTACAGGATGTCCGGTACGTTCATAACCAGGTTCACATTCGTATTGGACAATGGTGCCATAGCTACGACCACCACCATTCAACAGGGTAATATTGGCATGGGGTACCTCAGGTAGCGGGGCACATTGTGAAGCCATACAGGTGGGTTTACGTTCCCAACGACCATCTGGCAGACAGGATATTTTTTCAATTGGCAAACCGGAACTGAAAGTGAAACCAGCATAACATTGGTACATGGCCACACCACGATAGGTGACATTCGAGGAGCCAATGGAGAAACCGTTATCGATTTGGGGTACTGGACCGCAATAAACCTCTGTGGGGAGAAAATATTAGCAGGAGATTTAAGAAGAGTTGGGTATTGTTTTTACATTACCTTGACATTTGGGTATATAGGACACACTCCAGTTGCCACCCTTCATACATTCGGTCACAATTTTACTTTTGCCGGTTGCAAATTCTTGGCCAATGGGACAAGTAAAGGTTACCACAGTTCCAAAGGCAGTGTCGCGGCTCGAAGCCAAGGCACCAATGCCAGGTTGCAATTCAGGGCAATCAGCGGAGAAAGTGGCAGACCAGCTGGAAATTGAAATAAGTGAAAGGTCAAATTGGGTAAAAAATATTACTGTCTTCAAACTTACCCAGCTGCATTGTGCAGAGCATCCGAAGTGAATTTAATCAACATCTCTCCTGACGAAGCTGTCAACGTCAATTTGGGCACAGCAGTTCCAGTGAAACCATCTCCCGAATGCAAACGCAATCCCGATGTTGAAGATCCATCGTAGACCTGGACATTGTCGCTCTTGTGGACCATGAATTTAACAAATTTCAACGATAAAGGCGAGCCCATGCTGTTGCGAATGGTGAAATAACATTCCTGATTTTTGGGATAATCAGCCAAACCGAAAGCTGGAGAAGTTACAGTACCATTCCTGGCAGTAATGGTGGCCTTGCAACCTTGGATGTAACGCAAACTGAAACCTTTGCCAGAATCTCCCAGACTAGATTTGAAATACAAATACAAAGCATTGCCGGTGGAGATAATGACCTTTTCGTTGGTGCCAGTCTTGCCAGTCAACTTGGCAATGGGACGGCTCATGGGTGATTCTCCATCGCGTATCAACATATAATCACGTCCCTCCACAATATCCAGATCATCGACTTCAATGGAAATAATACGGCCAGGTTGGGCCTTAATAATGTACAGGCATTCCAAGCCACCGGGATATTGCTTGGGATAGTTGGGACTGGTCAAGGTTTGACGTTGCAATGTGGCCTTTAAAGTGCCGCCGCAAACTTTCGATTCTGTCTTCCATGTGGCCCGGAAACCTTTACGTTCCACACTACCATCTGAGGTGAACTTGACAATCATAAAGTTCGAAGCCGAGACCAAAGGTTGTGTGGTCAAGTCGTGTTTACCACTCAAAGTGGCCAGAGAAACTGATTTCTCCTCTGTGCGTCCACCAACCAAAACTTGTACTGTATCGAAAGTCTTTTCGGTTTCAAAATCTTGGAATTGCAAAATAATATTGCTACCCAAAGGACCCTCCAAAGTCCATTTGCACTTGGACAAGGCACCATATTTATGAGGATAGTTGGGACTTTCGATGACATCACCGCCTGATTGCATGTGATAGTGGCACTGGGCAGGGCAATCCAATTCATCCGAACCATCTCCACAGTCATCGGAGCCATCACATTTGAAACTTTGATTGACACACTTGCCATTGGCACAGTGGATGGAATTCACAGGGCAGGCTGAGGCACGACACATGAAGGGTAGCAAACTCTCACAAGTACCCAAATTCCATGATTGAATGACCGAGGTAAAGGTGGCGGCCACACATTCTCCTGATTGTGGATTGGGTTGATGCAGCGACCAAAAACCGGAGTATTGAGAGATTAAAGCTCCCGATGCCGATTCCAGGGTATTTGTGCGCAATTCATCCAGCGACGCCAAACCCAGCCAATATTTATCCGATGCCCGATGATTGGGATCATTAAGGCGGGCTATCGACAGGGTGTTGTTGTTTTCGGCATAATTATCGATGGCCACTAATTCAGCACCATATCTGGAATAGGGAAAAAGAAATGGAAATTAGTTAAGTGTTGAGAATACTAAAGTGAATAATTGTTGCATTTGTTTTGTTTGTGTAGACGGCGGTATTTATCTGACGCTTTGAGTTATTTGACTACAAATAAATTGACAGCACTTTCTATTTTGTTTTCAATGTTGTTGTTTTTTTTAATGAATAACGAAAAAATAATGGCAAAAGTAGAGGCCATGAAGAATTTGATACACCTTAATGTGAGAGTATTTTCGATCCGAGGAAAATAATGTCATATTGGATAGAAATTCTACAGAAGGCTAGAAGACCAGAGTTTATATTTATCCTGAATATAAAAGAGTGTCCTAGAAAGCTAAGCCACATATGATGTGTTGCTGTACTTTAAAGGAGAGACATGTGGAATTATCTCTGAGAGAGCAAATGAGAAAGTATGAAACGTAAAACTAGTAAATGACAAAAGATGAGACTAGAGAGTCATTTTATATAGAGGACCTGAAGAGCGAATATGAGAAGGGTTTATATGAAATACCATACGATTTTCTATGTAGAAGTCCTTACGATTTTCTTATCTTTTTTGTACAGAAAGAACGATCTCGTCTTGTATAGAGCACCAAAAATCTTCATATAAAGAAAGCCAGAATGTCATCTTACATAGATGTCCAAATGATTTCAGATATCCCACTTCTAAAAATCAGGAAGTTTTTTTTTTATTCAGAATCACACAGGGGAAGCTATATTGACCATTTTCTTCCAGAAGCTTAAATTAGTTTCCCAAATTTGGATCATCAAATTTCAAACAATTCCGTTTAAAAATATCACTAAAGCCTCCAAAAACTCGAATATCGGTAGTTATGATAAACGTGGACCTAAGTAGAAAATTGTCATTGAAAAGTTTTGTTAAAAATAGCGAATATTTAAATTCTGTCCCAGGTACTGGTACCCACAACCACCTCGAATATCAAAAATAAATTTTAAACAATTTATAGAAATATAAAGAGGTACTTATGGAGAGAATTATGCCAAAGCTTGGACTTATTTGGTTAATTTTCTGTCGGACTTTAAATATCTAATTAAATTTTTTGGTTGGAAATTTATACTATCGGGAGGTTTACACGAAATCGGGGACCAATAAAATAAAGTTCTCCAAAATCATGACAGTATCTAAATCGGGAGGTACCTTTATCTAGGGCTATACAAAAGTTTGGACCAATATAACCCATCTTCGAACTTGATCTAAGTTCAGAACAAAAAAAGGAATACATACCGATTTTTTAATACCCTCCGCCATTTTGAAGGACCTTGAATTATTTCAAAAAATTCCGCCGAAAAATACCATTTAATTGAAAACCTTTATATGGGTGATATACGAAGACGTGGACCTGCATAAGTAATTTTGAACTTCAAATACGAAATTCGAAACAATTCCGGTGAATAATGCCGCTAATATCATCAAAATACCGAAAAAGGCGAGATACCGTTGTAAGGGAGCTATACGAAGACGTGGAACTGCATAGACAATTTTCCATCATAGGTTGTATTACCCATTAAGAACTTCAAATTCGAAATTTGACTGAATTCTGGTAATTAATGTCGCGAAAATCTTGGAAATACCGAATATCTTGGGGAAGCGTTATATGGGTGCTATACTAAAACTTAGACCTATATAGACAATTCTCTTTCAGGGGGTAAAGTACTCAGAGGGAACTTCTTGTGTGAATTTCAGACAATTCCATTGAAAAATGTGGCTACAATCATAAAAATGCCGAATAAAGGGAGGTATAGTAATATGGGGGATATACAATATCGTGTACTTATATAGACAATTCTTTTTCAGGAAATAAAGTCGTCACAAAGAACCCCTTGTGTAGAATTTCAAACAATTCCATTTAAAAATGTGGTTAAAATCATCAAAATTCCGAATATCGGGAGGTACCGTTATATGGGGGCTATACGATATCGTGGAATGATATAGCCCATCTTCGAACTCGTCCTGCCTGCAGACAAAAGACAGATCGGTGCAAAATTTTAGATTCCTATCTTTATCGATATCCGATCGAGATATATTTATACTTTGTTGCAAAAGAAATGACGAACTTTATATACCCTCCACATACTACGTATGGTAGACGTTATAAAAAGAACTGTTAAATCTGCCTTCCACTCCCTGCTGTAGCGTGCCGTAATAAGAAGGAGAAATCGTTTTACCCGCCACAACTAGAGAATCTTAGAAAGGGAGAGTGCCTTTTGTTGTAGGAACAAACGAACGAACAAACATTCACATATTTTTTTTCGTGAAAACATATTTTCATATGTTCATAATTGTTGGCCCAAATATGAAAGACGGGTTAACAATGGAGCATACGTACCGACACAAACACACACACACCCAAACATATTAAATACTTATAAAGTACATTCATTTCGATATACATATAAACATTAACTCTGCCATATGTGTGTGTGTGTTCATAAGTATATTTCGGTTTTTTGCTCTCTTGCCACACACTTATACACACACACGGTCAATGATATAAACTTTCATTTCCAATATGAGGCAAGAATTACAACTACAAAAAGAAGAAAACGTGATGCCACCACATTCAATGGCATAGCCATACAAGCTCACACATACACACACACATTTAGACGGCCATTCACAAAGACCACAATGGCTGAAATTTCCTATGGACACTTCCAAGGTAATCATCATCATCATCATCAACAACAACAACAACATCATCATCAGGAAAACAATTGCCTGGCCTGCCTTTAAGACCCCGAATTGTATTAACCATGAACGAGCGACAATGTAGATGACAACAATAAAGACATCGGCACAACATCAAGAAAAGTTGTATTGCTATTTTTTATTGTTCTTGCTGTAAATGCTTTAAACGAAAGGAAAATTTAACAACAATTCTGTTTCGCTGTGTGGCGAAGAATTCACTTAATAAAATATTCATTTTATTGTACGATGATGAGGATTTACTTGGCCATACATATATAAGTAGTCATAATATCAAGGCTTGACACTTTTCTTCAGGGAGTGTGTGTGTGTGTATATGTGTGTCGGTATGTCTGTTTATCATATCATGAAATGTGTTTTTTTTTTGCTAAAAAGACGACCCATAAAATAAATTTTTTATGATGTTACATTATTTATGGCGCCTTATTTCAATTTAATTGTTTTAGAAGTCAATTAAACTTGTTGAATTTATTATGGTTAGAAAGAGAAAAGAAAAACAAAAAAAAAAAAAAAAAAAAAAAACAGTCAACAAAAGAAATGTGTCAAAATTATGTCAGTTGTTGATCTATGGACTGGCTAGACAGCAATTGTGGGCAATCTTCATAAAAGGAAGACAATAAAAATGATTCTTTACAATTTTTTTGAATGATGTATTAAAGATTTCACCAAATATTTTTTGAATGAAATACAACTCAAAACCAGTAATGAAAGTCTTAAAGTCGGGCGGGGCCGACTTTATGATACCTTACACCACTTTGCTAATTTAGTAGAGCTCCACATAACAATTAAAAGTTTTTATGGGAGAATTCAATCATACACCCTATGATTATAATTATAATTTAAAGTTCAAATGGCTAAATATGCCGAAGCATTTGTATCTTTTAAATTCGGACTTGTATTGCCTATCATTTGGGGGCTATATCCAAATCTGAACCGATTTTGATAAAATTTGGCAAAGATATTTCTGAGCTGTATTTCAGATACTTCCCTGAATATCGTTGTTACGGAGTGCGTATTACGGCTGTGGGTAACAAATATAACAAATCGGATGAACAATATAATGGGAGCTATAGCTATATCTGAACCGATCTTCACCAAATTTGATATACTAGCTTCTAGAGTAAATTCGGTCGTAAGTGCCAAATTTCATTCCATATGGGCAAATATTAGACGTTTGGTGCACAATAAAAAGTAAATCGGACAAAGTTATATGTGGGAGATGTATCCAAATCCGAACCGATCTCGATAAAATTTAGCAAAGGTATTTCTGAGCTGTATTTGATATATTTCCCCAAATATTGTTGTCACAGGATGCATATTACGGCTGCGGAGGACTAACATAACAAATCGGATGAACAATATATATTGGAGCTATAGCTATATCTGAACCGATTTCGAACAAATTTGGTATATTTATTTTCAGGCCTAATTTGGTTGTATGTGCAAAATTTCATACTATTCGGGCTGATATTACACGTTTGGTGCACAATAAAAGGCAAATCGGACGTGATATATGTGGGAGCTATATCTAAATTTTTACTGATTATCTCCAATTTCAATAGGGTTCGTCCTTGGGGCAAACAAATGATTTGGGCAAAATTTCATCTGGATCGGGTAATAAATGCGAACTGTACATTGTTCACAAAAATACATGGACAGACGGACGGACATGCATAAATCGACTCAGAATACGATTCTATGCAGAACATCAACAGGAACTATGGATCTATCTCGTTTCCTTTTGCCTGTTACATAATACCCTGTCCACCATGTGGTGTAGGGTATAATGAAAACAAAACGAGCATATAAAAGGAAAAAAATCAAAAGCATAAAGAAATTCCCTGAGCTTCATTTAAGACATCAAGTTTGGAAAATTCTCACATTCACAAAATGATTTTCTTCTCCTCAAAATTCAAAGGTAACAAGAACCTCCTCCTCAAATTCAAAGTTTCTAACATTCTTTTGTAATTTTGCTCTTAGGCTTTGAATGACATGTAAGCCTTATTGGCTATGCCTTGTTAATCCACGTTATCTTCAGAGCTATCACATTTCGAATTTTGATTGACACATTAACCATTAACACTGTTATGGAGGAGGATTAAGAGATAAACCAAGGTACGACACAAAGTGTAATCTATCAATTTTGTGTCCTGTGGGGATTTTGTTCAATTAGGGGGAAGTTTTTTTTTTCAGTTTTTTCTATGAAGAGTTTTATTCCATGGACAATTGTAGATAGAAATTAAAGACTTTTGTACAT